AAACGTGCATTTACGCGAGTTTCCTCCCTTAAATTAAAAAAACTTAATTTAAAAAATTGTCTGATGTAAAAAAAGTCATTTTAACAGTTAGAAAATATTTTTGTCAAATATCAACCTAAAAATAATTACAAGATAATAACTTGACAAATATTTGCAATATTTGGGACTAAGGGTTTTTTTTGTTCACTTATAAATTCAGATTCGGTAACCGAATCTGATAAATTTTACAAATTTTCGTCCGCTATATTGGATCCCGAATTAAAAATTTTTTTAAACTGACATTAGATTCGTTATCAGCGACCCCAAAAACCCCTGAGTAACAAGTTTTACTCGAATCGGATGAATTTTAAGAATCTTCGACCGCCATATTGGATCCGCCATTTTGAATTTTTAAAAATTGACATCAGATTCGATATCAGCGACCCCAAAAACCCCTGAGTAACAAGTTTTAACCGAATCTGATGAATTTTAAGAATTTTCGTCCGCCATATTGAACCCGCCATTTTGAATTTAATTTTTTAAAAATTATATTGCCTTTAAATGCTAATTAATTCCGTTTCATTCCGGAATCCCAGTTAATGCCTTTGGTAGGTTATAAATCTGCCTCGTTTTCATTTAATGCCTTTTGACTAATACTCTTATAGGGATTCAAAAGTATTCGGAAGAAAACGGAATTAAAAGGCATTGAAAAGTGCCATTCCATTTTAATCTCATCCGTCTCGCCGGGCATTTTTATTCATAATTTTATGTCCTATCTCACGTTTTTAGGTGCATTTATAGGTTATATTTTTCAAAAGGCCAGATAGTTTTCGAAAGTACTTATGTATACCAATAATTTCAGCGTATGAACAGTAATTTTGAAAGCTCTCAATGTTGCAGGGTGGCCCGGTTGGCGCGAAACGTCCTACCTATATATTAAAACTAGATTTTTTAAAAATATGCCAGCAATCAATCTCAGACAATTTTCAGTGATTTTTTATTTTGTTTGAAGGTCCACGCTGGCAATTGTTCCAACACCCCCCGTCCACCTTGTGGACAATCGTGGACTTTTTCTACATCCCCCCGCCCCCATAAATGTGTCCACGTGGTTTATGAACGGCTAATTATTTGTAAAATATTTCATTTTATATTAACATTAAATTAATTAAATAATATCTTGAAAATAACAAAAAAGGACATCTCAAAATTTTTTGTAGTGGAACTACATATTTTTAACTTTCAAAAGAAGACCGATCTTAGAAGAAAAGTCAAAAGAAATTTTAATTTTCAAAAAAAGTGTTCAAATTTTGAATTTTTTGAAAAATTTTTTGCATCATTTGAAAGAGCAAGAAAAAACCTTTCGAAAACTTATAAGTCAAATTTTGTTTCGTCTCTCTGTTTAAAGGTTATGTCTTTAAAAATTAACTGTTCAAATGTTTCAAATAAATTCAACCCCTTCCCTCTCCTACATTTTTTGAAAAAAGCTAACAATACTTCGTGGTTAAAGTACTCACCTCTAGGACTAAACTATGTATGTGCAAGTTACAGCCCGATCCGATCAACTTTTTTTCACTTACAAGGAACACTAGGTAGGTGTCCCCCTCCGATTTCGTTCATCTTGATATATGTTGTAGTACTGGAAAAACTAATCAACACGTATATTTTTTTATCGGCAATGGTGAACATTTAAGGGGTGAAAACCACCCCTAAAGTTTTTAAGGAAATATAGAAATTTCACAATATTAAGAAAAATTTAATAAATTTTTTTTTTTTGTTCAATAATAATTTAGCACGAAAAATGGAATTAAACAGTAGCATTTTCACCACCAACTTCCATGAATTTAGGGGTAAACACACCCAAAAATGAACTTTTCGTTCAAAATTATATAATAATATAATAATTAACAAAATTTAAAAAAAATGTGTCCAGGGGGTAGATAAGGGTAAACAACCCCTTAAAGTATATTATTTCATATAAAAGAGTTTATTAGCAAACAAATTTATTTCTTCTGCAAAAATCATCTATGTAATAAGAGGGATACTTTCTATTCATTTTGAAAATATTTTCAAGACTGGAATTTTATTTTCCGGGGGCAACTACCCCTAAAAATTATTTTTCCGTTAAAATACTACAGAAGAAATAAATTTTTTCTGATAAAGTATTTTATTTGAATTAATATGTTTTTAGGGGTTCTTTACCCCTATCTACCCCCTGGACAAATTTTTTTTACATTTGTTAATATTTTACAACTTTTATATCTAATTATTTTGCACAGAAAAAAAATATAAAGCGAGGAATTATATAATTTTCAACGAAAAGTTCATTTTTGGGTGTGTTTACCTCTAAATTCATGGGAGTTGGTGGTGAAAATGCTACTGTTTAATTCCATTTTTCGTGCTAAATTATTAGTGCGATTCCAGGTGAGATTTTGACTTTTTCGGAGTAGTTTAACCGATTGCAATGAAACTTTGGAATTTTGTTATATATAGTAAGACTAATCTTAACGTAAATTGCAGCTTAAAATATTTGTTAGTTTACGAGATTTGCAATAATAACAAAAAATTTTAAACTGCTATATCTTTCGTTCTAATAATCTGATTGAGGTCTACTTTTTTTTAAAATGTCAAGGAAAATGAGAGGAATAAATCTCTTTAAGAACAATTTTTTATAATTTTACAACTAAAAAAATTATTAAATAATAATTTAATAAATTTCACGCGACAATCTAAAAGTCAATCACTTAAACGCTAAAATGATCTTATCAGTGTTTTCTTCAATGTTCCAAAGGAATCGAATTGTAAATGCAAGTTTAACTTATTTAATTTTAATAATTTACAAGTATAAACCATTACGATTTCTGCTAGTTGACGTGCAGACGATATTGCGCACGCAACATTCTCACGTAGCCAATTTAGGCCACGAATCACGTCAGCTGGTTACAGGAGAATGCTGCGTGCGCAATGTCGTCTGCACATCAACTAGCAGAAATCGTAATTGTTTATACTTGTAAATTATTAAAATTAAATAAGTTAAACTTGCATTTACAATTCGATTCCTTTGGAACATTGAAGAAAACACTGATAAGATCATTTTAGCGTTTAAGTGATTGACTTTTAGATTGTCGCGTGAAATTTATTAAATTATTATTTAATAATTTTTTTAGTTGTAAAATTATAAAAAATTGTTCTTAAAGAGATTTATTCCTCTCATTTTCCTTGACATTTAAAAAAAAAGTAGACCTCAATCAGATTATTAGAACGAAAGATATAGCAGTTTAAAATTTTTTGTTATTATTGCAAATCTCGTAAACTAACAAATATTTTAAGTTGCAATTTACGTTAAGATTAGTCTTACTATATATAACGAAATTCCAAAGTTTCATTGCAATCGGTTAACCTACTCCGAAAAAGTCAAAATCTCACCTGGAATCGCTTATTATTGAACAAAAAAAAAAAATTTTATTGAATTTTTCTTAATATTGTGAAATTTCTATATTTCCTTAAAAACTTTAGGGGTGGTTTTCACCCCTTAAATGTTCACCATTTCCGATGAAAAAATATACATGTTTATTAGTTTTTCGAGTACTACAACATATATCAGGATGAACGAAATCGGAGGGGGACACCTACCTAGTGTTCCTTGTTAGTAACGCTACAGGAATTTCACCCCATATATATAATAATTTTTATATATTAATGATTTATAATAATAATTATAATTAGGTATTGTTATTTTTACATTTTAAAAGTTAGAAAGTATATTTATATCATTTTTTAATGAAAAATCTGAGTTTTATTGAATTGAGTAAAAGTGGAACCCCAAGAAGCACGTAATATAACCTCAATATCAAGGTAATATTACATGTAAGATTCGTAATATAACGTTGTAATATTACAGTAATCTTACAGTGATCTTAAAATGTCCGCCTCAAGGTAATATTACCGGTAATGTTACTGTAATATTACGCGCTAATATTAAGGTAATATTACAGTAATATTGCAGTAATATTATACCGTAATATTAAGGTAATATTACAAGAGAATATTACAGTGATATTATGGGAACATTTCTTTACGAAAAAAATCTACCCATCCAGGGAATCGAACCCCGAACTCAAAGCACACGAGTCCAGAGTTTTACCAACAAGCCAAATTGACTTATAATATATATTTACGTTTTTTATGCTTTATGAATAACTCAAATCAGTCTGTAATATTACTGTAATATTACCGTTAATATTACAGTAATATTCCCGGTAATATTACCTTGAGGCGGACATTTTAAGATCACTGTAAGATTACTGTAATATTACAGCGTTATATTACGAATCTCACGTGTAATATTACCTTGATATTGAGGATATATTACGTGCTTCTTGGGACACTATTTGTTAAAAAGTATTAAATATTTACAATTTCATCATCTAAAAAAAAAATGATAACCTCAAAAAACCAAATTTTTATTGTTATATTCTTGTTCCCTGATGTCTCAAATATAGAAATATTAATTTGTGGAAATTAAAATTAACGTATACTTACTTTTAAAAAATTGAGTTTAAGTAGAAACGCCAATTCGATGTTTTCGCATGTCTGGGCCAGGCAGCGTGAAACGCCAATTAGAATGCCGCGCCAGAGAAGTGGTTAAAAATGATGCAAAACTTTGTTATTATAAAAATTTTAAACTTTGAAAAATGGTTTAAAGTGTTTTTTTGGTTAGTTAACAGCTACAGATTTTTACAATTGCTTTTATTTGTCCAAAAATCAGAAAATTTTTACTCACGGTTAACGTGGTTTTACTCATAAGTCATTGAAGAGTAAAACCGTACATCTGATGGGACTCGAACCTCTGTTAAAAGCTACCTATGACGCGACACTTGTGACAGACTGAAATATTTCTTATTAATTTTGGAATTTTATCTAAAGTAACCATAATTTGATATAAAATTTCTTTGCAAGTTCAAACATAAATAAAAACGAAAATTGGGAAATTTTTTTCGTGATATAAATCTGAAAAACATTACCTTTACTTATAGATTGAGATTGAGAAAAATTTTCGTTCTCAGGAATTATATATTCTGTATTGAAGGCTTCTAGCTTTGGAACTTTGATATCTTCTTCAATACTTGGTTTTTCTTCATTACCATCATGAGCATGAACAAACATTTCCTTACTGAATTCCGTAATTAAACCACTTGATGTGGAAACTACTGTATTTCCAGATCGTTCCGAATATCTGACTTGCATTGAATTGGAATCTGAAACTCGACTATCTGCAGACATGTGACTGTTTTCATCAAATTCCAATACATTTATGTTTCCTTCTTCATCTTCATCTTCACTATCACTTACTGGCTCTCCGAAAATATCATGTTCAGCTAAAATACAAATATTTTTAGGCATATTAAAACAAAATATTACACATGAAATGAATTTTTGTATGGTAAAGTAACAGAACTAAAAAATGTAATTAACTATAATAATCTTGGTATTCATTCATTCATTCATTCATTCATTCCGTCCGGATCCCTGCTGGGTTTTCGGTAACAGAGAAAAGAACAAGTTATGGAGAGAGAAAGATATATCTTTATTTTGCAAATGAGGGTTCGCTTGACCTGCAATCTGTTAAAGAGGATTAATTAATAACTCTGAGGACCCAGGTAATTATTTCTTTCTCCCTTTATCACGTGAAAAAGCTATAAAGAAAGTCTAAAACTGAATAGGTAACGCATAACTTTCTTTCTTACACCAAGGAATATAACATAAGTACTTCTTTGTTTAACATTGCGTTTCTCTATCTAGACAATTCAAAATGGCATAAGATCACTTTTTTTCAATTTTATATATTTTTGTCCACTTTTTGGTATTACCATAATGTTTAAACTCTTTTCCACATAATGCATATATTCTATTTAAATTATATTGTGATTAAATAGAAAAATTTCAAGTTTTTAGAACTTGATATTTTTTTCTTGTTTTGAAGGTTTGTGTTAAACAGTGGAACACTTATTATTAAATAATGAATAATTGTTTCAATAATAATATTCTGCTTTATACTTTGTAAATATATATGTTTTGCATTAAATAACGTTAACAAATGTTGCAAAACACTCATAATTTAATAATATTTTACATTTTTATAATACGATGTAAAGTTTCTTATGAAAAATTGCTATTATTTTTTTTTACGTTTACAGTACTGCTGATCATACGTCATAATTTGGTCATAACCTAAAAACAATTTGGAAGAAAATTTGAATAGTCGTTCTCTTATCAAGTGTTATTTTTCAAATGTTGCCGAACAATAATTATAATAATTATAAATTTTGAATTTTTAAATGTTTTTTAGCATAAAAAAATCACATTTTTAGTCGCTGTGTAAGTATAAATGCGCATGCGTATAGCTGACACAACTTATAATTAGTGTTGCCAAAATCCACGTTTCATAAACTTAAATTTTTGCCTGTCCCAGTGTTTAATGTCGCATTGTTTAAATTGAGCAATCGCAAGAAATTATTTAAATAAAAATTGTTTGTAAAATTTTAAAATATTTTAAATTATTGGATATTATACTTAAAAACATGAGTAAACGAAGTAACAATTTTACTTTTTTTAAAACTGTCCTATCTATATAAAAATCAGCATTGTATTTCATGAAAAAATTTACTCCGTATCGTCATAAACAGTTGTTTTCAATTTTCTTTGTAAATAATGAATCAATGTGGCTAAAATATTTGGAGATAGTGTGTTGTCATAAACATGGTTTACATTTAAATTTTGGTCGAGTTTCTTTAAGTAGGTTTTCAGAAAATTAAAGTGTCCTACTGTTTAAACTGTCCCACTGTTTATCTCTCTCCCCTACCTGTATTAGACCCCAGAAAATTTTAATAAAAAAATTTAAAAATTATTATCTGGCCCTTCAGAATTAATCTTCATTAACAAAGGCTCTATTGTCCAAGGATTGGTATTGTTTGTGGTAATTGTTCTGAGGGTCTAATACTGGTATATACATATTTTTTTTATTTTGAAAACAGAAAAAAAGAAGAGTAAGATTTTTAGGCGAAGATATTCTTATGTTATTTTGAATCCTCTAGATAAAGAAATGCAATATTAAATGAAAAAGTTAATGTGTTATATTCCTTGATGTGAGAAAGATAAATATACATTACCTCTTCAGTTTTTGACTTTTATCTTTATATTTCCATGTGATAATATTAGGGATAAAGAAATTATTACCTGGGTCCTCAGAGTTAATCTTCATTAACAAAGGTTCTATTGGCCAAGGGTTGGTACATCTTTATTTTTCTATATAATAAATGGGATAAAATAAATTATTACCTGTGTCCTCAGAGTTAATCCTCATTAACAAAGGTTCTATTGTCCAAGGGTTGGTTTTTTTGTGGCATTTGTTCCGGGGTTTTAATACAGGTATAAATATGTACATATGTTATTTGTAATGAACTACTGATTACTCATAAAAGAGTGTCCTTTTGCACTTATTGGCTGAAAAGTAGTTACTGATTCATAGTTACTCATAGTTCTCTCATTCTATTGGATATTTGGTAGTTGTATTGGATAAAAGGCAAAATTGGTTATATTTTATTAAAAGAAAAATTGGTTATATTGGATAAAAGGTAAAATTGGTTATATTTAATAAAAGGTAAAATTGGTTGTATTGAATTAAAGGAAAAATTGGTTATATTTGAAAAAAAGGCAAAATTGTTTATGTTAGAGAGAGTAAGCGAAAGGGTTAAAGATATTTAGATTTTCATAAATCAAAAATAAAATTAAACGAAGTATACTATGGCCAACATAAAAGAGTATGTTATTTTAAGTGATAAAGATTTAAAAATTATTGACAATAGAAATAAATTGTTAAATTACATGCATATGTTCAAATTTGAAGATTTATTAAGAAAAGATTCCAATTCTTTTTTCAATATGCAAAGTACTTTGTATGTACAAATGCTTGATTTTATTGTCCCAATTAGAGAAGGTGATAAAAATTTTAAAATACTTTTTAGCGGTAATAACAATTATTGTCACTGAATTTGTGTCTATTACGATAGAGTAAGGCTTTATATTTTTGATAGCCTTAATAAGGGGTGTTTAAATGTGCATCAAATAAAATGTTTAATTAGATTGTTCCCTTTTAAACCAACAGTAGTTTTTGAAGCTGTTAATCAACAACCTTTTGTAGTGTTAAGTGTGAAGTATATGCAATAGCATTTGCAACATCTATATTATATCACGTAACGCCAAACCGTGTAAATTATGAAACTGATAATAACAAAATTTGAAACCATTTTAAGTCAATGTTTGAAAATAATCGCTTAAATCATTTTCCGGCAGTAAGAACGTCTCACAATAGGAATTCGATAATAGAGAATGATTAGAACCGTCTTTTCATAAATTGAACTTAGGAACATAAAAATTATATTTTAAACTCTTGTTCTGTTTTTAATACTTTGCACAGTAATAATATTAACAGAGTTCTATTAACACAAGATTTAAAAATTAAGCATTCTCTAAATGACACTAGTGAAAAGAAAATAATTCGTACAACTGATAATAATGTGAACAAAATTTAACCACATGAATATTTAAAAATGAAGAATTTTCTGAGTAAAGAAAATGATAAAAAGATAATTCGAGCAATTAAAGAGAAGGGAAATAAAAAGAAGGCAAGGGGCGAAGTTATATATGAGCAGAAAATAATAAGACAGGAGAATGAGAGATTGAGAAAACGTAATCGTAATAAAACAGAAATAAAAAAGAAAGAGCGCAAAAAAAATTTGACATGCAAAAAAAAGAAATTATCTATAAAAACTAAAGATGGAAAGAAAATACGCAAGGATAAAAATTTGGCATGTAGGAAAAGAAAAATATCAGTGGAAACTTAAGATGAAAAGAAAGTGCGTCATGAAAATAATTTGTCATGTAAGAAGAAAAAATTTTCTACGGCAACGGAATATGAAAAGAATGTGTGAAGAAAAGAATTTGACATGTAAAAACGATAATCGGAATAAAAATAGTGCAGGAGTTGGAATAATGTCTTTTGAAGATTTCGATGAAAGTAAAGTTCCACAGAATTATTTAGGTTTAATAAATGTAGAATGTAAGTTTTGTAATGCGTTACATTTTTTGTGTGAAAGACCGTCACATAGATAAATCACCGAGGAATGTTCCCGTAATGTCACAAAAATATTCCCGGTTGATATCAGCTTGACATTCAAGCAATATTTCGTGTTACTTGGGTAGTAGATCCTATATAAAGAAATTTTTTTTTATATTTCTAATATTAAATTTTTTTGAGAAAAAAAATGAATAAAAAATATGGTTAATACACACTAGCAACGTAGTCGGCCGCTTGCGGACGACAAAGTTGCTAGTTATTAACTATAATAATTTCCGTATTCATTCATTCATTCCGTCTGTCCACACTTGAAGTTAGTCGTATTTTGTTCCTTTTGTTTTTCTAAAATTTTGACAATTCTTGATTTCGTAATATTTTATGGTTAACACGACGGATATTTTTATTCATCGTCATTAATTAAGTCATATACTAAGTGACAGTTTAAAGTAAAAAAAAAATATTGTTCATTGTGTGCAGCACCAGTATATTTCCTACTTGGTATTTATAGAAAAAAAAGTTTCAATTATAATATAATTTTTATTATTATTTATAAATTTATTATATTATATATACTTTTTTTTAAATATAATGATTATTACAGATAATTAGAACATTTTAACTTATAATTATTATTTATCTTTCATTATTTTTTCATTATATTCATTATTATTTATTATATATTATTATTCATAAATTTATTATTATTAATTATTAAATTGTTATATTTTTTTATCTATAAACAATATAAAAATAGTTTGCTTTTTTAAAAAATTTTCAATTTGATTTTAATTTTTAATTTAAGTTTAAAGTTTAAAACATTACAAATTTTTTTTAGGTTTTATTTTTTCAAAATTTTTAAATATTTTTTAATTGCTTAATACTTTTTAAAATATAATTAATAATTTTCAGTTAATTTAAACTTCTTTTTGATTACATAATTTTTTAATATTTATTAATTATCAGTTAATTAAATTTTTTGAAAAAAAACACAAATTTAAAATTTTCATTTGCAACGAAATATTTATAGAAAATACAAAAAAATATTTAGCATAGGGTAACGGCACCAGTGAAGGAACTGACACCAGTGAAAGAACAAATTTCATATTTTACATTCTAATTAGTGTAATAAGCAATTTGTTATTATAAATTATATATTTTTATGTTCCTTATTTAATTTACGTCTTTAGTATCTAAGATACCTAGAAAGTTAACACGTAAATTTTATAAAAAAAAATTTTTAAA